AAATAAAGAAATCTAACTAATAAACTAATATAATAATGTTAATAAAAATATATATAAAAATTAAGAAATAAGGTTAATAACAGAAATATCACATGACTTCCAAAAATTTCTGCTTGAAAAATTTGATTTTTAACTTTGACCAAGATTTAAGTGACAGGGAACGATTTTCTACTAAGATGTTTCTAGGATAGATCGAAAGTCCTAGTTTTTGGTTACATGATGATATGTGCTTCATTACTATAGCATCGATATTCGCGAAGAAATTCACGTTTAAATTCAAAACGTCCGTGAAATTTATGCCATAATTTTTCCATAAATTTTTGTAATTCTGGCAGAAATTTTCATATGTCACAAAAATTTCTGCCAGAATTACGAAAATTTATGAAAAAATTATAGCATAAATTTTCATGAACGGTGAACAATTCCTTTTGATTTATCATTATTAATTGTATCAAATTCAGCAACTTATATGAAAAAATGTTATTGGGATGTATTAAAATCCATAATACCTCAATTGATTCATTTGCTATGTTTAGCACATATATTAAATCTTATTGGATTAGTAATTTTATTTTTTATTTTTTATTTAGAATTTTATGCTAAATAATTTATTCATATATTTTTAAAGAAGTATGGGTATCAATTAATCATTTTTAAATTGTATATCAATTACTTGCAGATATTAAATAAACTTTTGTTTTTTGTAAAAGTTGAAGAGCACATTATATATCATATCTTTATCGTCATAGAGTATCTAATCCAAAAAATATACCTCTATCTAATGTAACAAGATGGAATATTTGGTTTTATATGGCTATACTTGCACGCAAAATTATTTTGAGGTCCCGAAATTACAATTTCGGAAAAAAAAGTTGAAATAGTTTTTCATAGAAGACGAAATTATTTTACTTAAAATCCAAAATTTTTTGATCACCTAGATTTATTCTTTGATTAAAGATACATATAACTAGGTACTTTTTTTATTTCCATATATAGAATAGATTTTGCATAAATCTCAAAAAGTCGAAATACCTCAAAAATCTAAAATCAATTTTGGGAATATGTATACATATGGCATTTTATATATACTAACATTTGAATTATATTCGTGGATTTTATAATAAAGAGAGTAGAGAAAATTCAACATCAATAATTGAAAAAATAAATTCAATTTTTACTTATCAGCAATCCAATGGAAATATTGAAATTTATTTGACATTTATTCAGAAAAATACACAACAATTTGTAGTTGATCTTGATTTTTTTCAACAAGAAACTAAACCAATATTCCCCTTTATTGAATAACAATTACAACAACTTGAAACACAAATAATTATAGGAAAAACTATGACTAATTTTAGATCAACTGTGAATTTAGTTTTGCAAAAATTAAACATTCTGTTAACATTATTCTATTCAATATTCCAACAAGCGTATCATGTAGCTTATAAAAAACTTGAAAATCATGTATTACAGCATCCTGCACGTTCTTTATTTAAAGCTGTACAAATTTTCGATTCACAATTTTTAACTTTAACAGCTGCTAATTGAAATATTTACTCTCATCAAATTATTAGAGAACTAGTTAATCCATCAACATGCCTTATTCATGAATGGTCAATCTATATTAATATCAATCTAAACTTTGTGGAATTTACTGATTTGAATGAATTTTGGGATAAGGTTTCATTACAACTTCTTTTTTTAAAAAAAATAGCACATAATTATATTTGGTTACCAATTTTATCCTGTACAGTTGAAAGAAGTTTTTCTATATATAACAAGATTCTAAATGATGATAGACAGAATTTAAGTAAAGAATCACTTAAATTTCTCACTATGATATATTTTAACAATCAAAATATTAATTAAATATAATAAAAAATGATAATTTGTGTAGTTTTCTTATAAAAATTTTTAGCAGAATAAATTGGAATAATTGATGATACTGTTGTTACTAGTTGACCTGTCGAGCGAAATAAGGTTCCAACAGGAGGTTTACAATTAGTAAACTTAAGCGATTCAAGTTAGATAACTAAATTATTAATCAAGAATAATTAAACTAATTTTAAGTATGAAGGATAAATTATAATTTCAAGGACTAAGTTAAATGTATTTGTTAAATTTATTATTCGAAGATTCAATATAACCAGATAAAGTGTACGGGAAAGTTTAAGACGAATAAGGTTTAGATACTTTAATAGTTTCAAAGAATATAAACTAACAAGGATTTACGGTAAATGTAATACAAAAATAGTTTATTAAAAAAATGAAATATAATA